AAAGGTGGGGGAAAGGGCCCCCCATGCCCACAGCAGCAGCGCCCTCCATGCGCCAGTGTCCCTTTTGCTGCAGCAGCTGAGGAGCTGCTCTTTCGTGCTGCAGCGGGCGTTTCGCCTGTGCTGCTGCTGCTGCTGCTGCGGCTGCGGCTCCTGCTCCTGCTGCTCTTGCTTCAACTGTGCTCGAGCAGCATACACAAAACTAGACACAAGCAGGAAGCCTCGGGATTCTCTCTTTATGGGTGGGGCGGCCGCGCAGAGAAAAGCGAGGAAGGGCTCGGCGCAGCAACTTGCTGCTGCTGCTGATGCTGCTGCTGTTGATGCCTGCTGCTGCCGCTACTCTCAAGCTACTGCCACTTCGAAGACTCTCCGATGAAACCAGCAGTAGGAATGGGAGTCAATGACCACGTGTAAAGGGCTGAAGAACTCAGTCAGCAACTGCTGCTGCTGCTCTGCTGCTGCTGCTGTTGTTGCTGTTGCTGCTGTTGCTGCTTCGAGGCACTCGGCGACGCAGCAAGAGACAAGAGATTCTCTTAAAATAAAACGAAACCTCCTTCTTCTTGATTCCCGTTGGAGTCGTCGCACACGGGTTCCCTTTCCCGCGCGTGCTGCTGCTGCAGTTGGTGTTGCTGTTGCTGCTGCTGCTGCTGCTGCGGAACCTTAGATCATCCGCTGAGATCGCTTAGGATTCCACCAATTAGCCCTATGTTCTTGTTAATAATGTTAAATTGTGTCCTTCAAGAGTCTAAAACAATGTCTCATTTTGTGCTGCTTTCTGGGTTTGCTGCAGCTGCGTGGGGCGCCGACTGCTGCGGTGCCCACAGGGCGGCGGGCAGCAGCAGCTCTCAGGCCAGCCCAGTGGCGTGTCTGTTTGCATATTACAATTAATTTAATCCTTTCAATTTATATTCCAATCATATTCTTTCTATTTAATGAAGAATCCAGCATTAATTGGAGCCAGGGAGGGCCCTGGAAGGCGCGCTTTTCGCCTCCGTGCTGCAACAGCGTGTCTAGCCTCAAGGCCACGCGTGGAGCCCAGCTTCGCACAGGGCGAAGCTGCAGCAGCAGCTGCAGCAGCAGCAGCAGCAGCTGCTGCTGCTGCTGCTGCAAGGCGCCCCAAGGCTGACTGCCCCGGGGCTGCTCGCTACCCTGGCCCTGCTAGGGGAATACTTGGGGGCCCCCCAGGGGCCCCCCGGGGGCCCCCAGAGTCTTGCCTTTGGGGCATTTGTACCTTTTACGGGCCCCCCGAAGCAGCCCCGGGGGCCCCCGCAGGCACAAGTGCTGCAGCAGCTGGGTTTCTTTGAGGGGCCCCTTGGGGAAACTTCGCCAAAAAAAGGGAATTAGACAAAGACAAATGATATAAAAATAAAACTTCTTTGTGCACATTTGCCTGGCCAAGAGATATACACATATGTGGCCAGTGCATGCGTGCATATGTGGCTGCCCCAAGTACATTTACTTATATCCATTTTTGTCCATTTGTGCACATATATGCATACATATATACACATACATATATATATGTATATATACATGTATATTTATATGTATATATATATACTTATATGTGCACATATGAATATATATATATATGCCAACATATATGCTCACACTTATCTGTATGTATACGAATATATGCATATACATATACGTGCAAATATAATATAAATCATATATCTATATAGATATATATATCAAATTTTATTCAAATAATATATATATATCTATATGTATATATATAATGTGCAGCTGAAGTGCTTATAAATACGCATTTACATTAGACAAAAAGCACACAAAGAGGCGCGCTTTGCTAATAATTAAAAATCCCTTCTTTAGAGTCTGCTGCAGAGTCTGCTGCACTCAGCAGCAGCTTTTGCGTCACTTGCTGCACCTGTTTTTGCTGCTTCTCAAAAGAAGCAGCAAAACAGGTGCAGCACGTGAAGCAAAAATCTAAAATTTGTCTGAATCCGCTGCAATCTGCTGCTGCAGCAGCGTGGCGGCAAGCGTGTGCTGCAACTGCTGCTGCTGCTGCTGCAGCAGATTGAAGAGGGGGTGCCTGCTGCTGCTGCTGCTGCTGCAGATTGAGGAGGATGCAGGTGCTGCTGGCGCGCTAGGCGTGTTGCGTGCTGCAGCTGCTGCGTGCTGCAGCTAATGCAATACGTGAAGCATCAAATGGTCTTTAGAAGAAAGCCAAAAGGTAGCAGCAAGAAACTTCAAAAAAAAGCTTTAAATGGTTTTTGAAAGAAATAAAAATGGCAGCAGCAAAAAACAAATCTGGTAAATCTTAAGAGAGAGTCTGGCCTGCGCCAGCTGCGCATTTGTGACCCTAGCAGCCTCCGATGCTGCTCTGTGGATAGCCTCCCGTTGCTGCTGCTGTTGCTGCCGCTTCTGCTGGTGCTGCTGCTGCTGCTGTTGCTGCTGTTGCTGGTGTCGCTGGGGCCCCCGCGGAGGCCCACAAACAACAGGTCTCATCTGCTGCCGCCCCCCATAAGGACAGGCAGCAGCAGCAGCAGCAGCAGCAGCAGCAGCCGTGGGCTCCAGTGGCTCGGTGGCCTCGGCAGCTTTCGAAAATGACACTTCTCTAAAAGATACCTGCTCACATAAAGCCTTATTTATTACATATTTATATCTATATTTATATTTATGTTCATATTTATATTTATATTTATATTTCCAAATATCTATTTTTGCGTATCTGCAGATGAGTGGGCAGCACATGCATGCAACGCAACAGAATATGAAAACGTTTTTGTCCAAGTGGCCACAAAAATGCCTAAGACACAAAAGCTATATATATATACATATGTATATATATATATATTTATATATATGTATCTATATAATATATATATATATCAGAATATATATACATCTGTTTACTATATATATATATATATTATGTATATAGTATAAATATATCAGAGTATATACATGTACAGGGGCTATATATACGTATATATATATATATATATATATATATACGTAATATAGATATATATATAGCCCTACATACCTATACATATACCCGGATATATAATATATATATATATATCTATATGTATATATATATAGTTTTTGTATATATACGAATATATATAGAAACTATATATATATATACATATAGATCTATATATATATATTAAATATCTATGCATATATATACATACAGTTGCATAGTTTTATATATTTGCTAACATACATATATTAATATTCACGTAACAGTAAACATTATGTAGGCATTATACATATATATATATATATTAACATACATAATAATCATACATAATAATATATATACCACATATGTGGGATAATGTGTATATATATACATATATAAAAATGCATATATATATATCTCAGTTGTCCATTAAGTTATGCTTCGTGCATGCAAATAAGACAAAAGCAGTAGGCCGCTATGCACCCGTGGGCAGCAGGCAGCAGCAGCAGCAGGTGGAATGGCCAAGAGATGTGCTGCTGATTTGCTGCTTCACGCAGGATGTGCCCTTTAGCTCTTCAGTCTGCTGCAGCAGCAGCGAGCCTTGTGACTTGCAGCAGCAGCAGCAGCAAGCGGCCGATCACCCCCTTGCTTGCCGCTGCAGCAGCAAGAGCTTGCCGCTGCAGCAGCAAGAGCTTGCCGTTGCTTGCTGCTGCTGCTGCAAGCCGCAGAGCCACTGGGGGCCTTGACAGCTGCGCACGGGCAGCCTTGCTGCTGCTACCTTCTGGCCAACAGCACCTATAAACCCCCACTATTTCTTTTGGAAGTTAATGCTTGCTGCTACTCGCGGGCAGACCGCCGTGAGAAGCTGTGCTGCTGTTGCTGCTGCTGCTGCTGCTGCTCTGGCTACTGCTAGCAGTGATGCCTTGTCACATTTCAAGCACGGTAGGCAAGCTCTACAAATCCGTGGGGTTCTTCCACCGGCAGTGCTGCTCCTGGCTGCAGCGCAGCAGCAGCTGCAGCAGGAACGACAAAAGTGCGGCTGCGAAGGCAGCCCTAGCTGCAGCAGCTGCCAGCTGCAGCAGCTGCAGCACGAACGACAAAGCTACGGCTGCAGCAGCAGCTCTACCTGCAGCAGTTGCAGCAGGAACAACAAAAGTGTGGCTGCAAGAGCAGCTCTAGCTGCAGCAGCTGCAGCAGCTGCAGCACGAACGACAAAGCTGGGGCAGCAGAAGCAGCTCTAGCCACAGCAGCTCCAACAAAACCACAAAGCTGGGGCAGCAGCGGCAGCTCGCGCTGCAGCAGCCGCAGCAGCTGCAGCAGCAACAGCTCGCGCTACAGCAGCTGCAGCAGCTGCAGCAGCAACCCCAACAACAATTCTAAAACGACTCAAATTTCGGATGTCTAGACAGCTCGTGGCGCACAGCCACTTGCGCAAAGTCGCACTTGCTTCTGGCCAAGGCCAGTTTGCATGCAGCCCCAAACCTAGCAAATCGGGGGGCCCCCAAACCTAGGGGCCCCCCTACCTGGGGGCCCCACCTAACTAGGGGCCCCCTGGGGGACTCTATAAGGGCACCTGGAGGTGGACCGCGCTTCACACCCGTTTGCGGCCGCTTGTACGTACAGCGCAGCAGCAGCTGCTGCTGCTGCTGCGGCTGCTGCTGTTGCTGCTGCAGCAGCACGTGCAGTACTCACACCAGCAGCCCTACCGCATCCACCGCAGCAGCTGCTGCAGCTGCCGACTTCAGCAGCTGCTGCGGCATCAGTTGCTGCAGCGGCTGCTGCGTCGACGAAGCAGCTTCTGCTGCACCCACTGCAGCAGGTGCTGCTGCCTTTGCTTCCGGTGAATGCATCTACGACGCAGCAGCTGCTGCACTTGCCAAATGTAAAGAGTTGGTGACGCAACAGCAGCAGCAACTGCTGAATCGGCGGAGCAGCAGCTGCTGCATTCGGTCTCCCTCACAGTCAACAAACGCTTGATCTAGTTCTGCCCCTGCGAAGCTCTCCTGCTGCTGCTGCTGCTGCAGGGGCAAATCGCACGAAGCCTATTACTACTACTACTACTACTGCTGCTGCTGCTGCTGCTGCTGCTGCTCCAAACAGAGAGAACAATTCATACTTGAAGCGGGCCGCAACAAGTGGCAGCTGCAGCCCCTGAAATCCCTGCAAGAGAAGTGGAAGGGGCCCCACAACCCATGGCATAGTGCTGCTGCTGCTGCAGCTGCTGCCGCACCTGCTGCTGCAGCTGCTGCTCCTGTTGGTGCAGCTCCTGCTGCTGCTGCAGCACGTGGTCTTGGTGTGTCTGCTGCTGCAGCTCCTGTTGCTGCAACCCAGAGAGCTTCCTCTGTATCTTCCGCGGCTGTCTCTGCTGCTGCTGCCGCCGGATCTCTCCCCTTTCATGCTGCTGCGGGTCCCGCAGCTGCTGCTGCTGCAGCTCTTGCTGCTGCTGCAGCTGCTGGCCCGTCTGGTCGCACACATCAGCGCCGTAGCCTTCGGCTGGTGTGTGAAGGGCCCTAGGGAGGCCCCCCGCAGGGGCCACTGCTGAAAGCCCTGCAGGGGCCCCTTGGGGGGCCCCCGGGGG